AGCCTTTGCGCAACCAAGCTCGGACTGCAAGGCAGCAGCGATATCCCAGATGAGCCGGTGGCCAGTAGTTGGTTTATTCGCCTCTTCTGGAAAGCCTTGTCGAGCAATGGATTTCGACAAGGAGCAATGGCCATATTTAGTGGCGGGCCACACTCGCCACGTCACAGCGCTGTCCACAGATATATGTGGTGTTTTGTACGGAGAACCCTTGTCAGGGGTAAACCCACCACATTCTCCAAGGCCACCGCTGATTGTCCGCGACCCTTTATTTGGAGGGCCGAGGCCAACCTTATTAACGGTTAGCCGTGAGATGACGGCCGTTCCCCTATCCGCGCCCTGGGGACGCGCTCGGTACCATACAGCTCTGCTCTCCCGATATACCTGTTCTACCTAATCGCTCCGTGCAGTTCTTCATGCGTCGTTTCCAATTCAACTGGTCTCCGCATGTCCTCCTCTAATCTGCAGCAGCAGCAAAGAAAGCGCGGCGACTGTTAGACATGCGCAAAATGTTCTAATTAATAGAGTCTACTGAGGTGAATTCGATGCGCTAACGAGTTCGTGTTCGATGCATTCCCACTTACATTTAGGTGGCTAACCCGCTCACTCTATCCCACCTCGGCCAGACTACGTAAGCATCAATTTTCGAAAACCACAAGGCAACGGATTTCTTCTACCCTTAAATTCAAGATGCCGAACTGCGGAGCAACGGAACTTAATAAGCTTTCAAGTGCGCCTTGTGCATCCTGCACACGTTTGAACAGGCAAACACTGCCGTCAGCGTACTCTAGATGGCACAGCATTTCTCCAGCTGCCCATTCAATACCTACATTTTGGAGCTCACTCTGTGCGTTCTCCACTATTTAGTCTCTGGCGAAATTGAACAGAAACTGCGAAATACAGCACTTTTGACACACTGCTGCTAGTTACGAACGACCTAATGAGCTCGCCGTATACTTATAAGCTACAAGAAGTATGCGAATCGAGTGCCCTCAGTATGCTCCCTTTGCGAAGGGATTCGCAGCCAACTGAATCGAAGGCTCTTTTAGGTCAAGAAACACGACAACCGTTGGTCGACGGTGTGTATGGCGCAGCCCGAGGACTTGATGCAGGGTGAAGATTTGATTGACACAAGCGCAACCCGGTCAAAATCCTGCTTGTTGATCGGGGATACCTGTCGCCCTAAACGGTGCCGATTGGGACCAAACTCATTCCACGGTGATTTGCGCAGTCGTTGCGAGATTACTGATTCGTTTCAGGATGACGGAATACGCTGTTGTGACCAGATGTTACGCATTAAGTCATCACGCTCCATCTTGAAAAGAATGGG